CTTTTTTTCTGGTTGGGTGTTTTTTGCTTCTTCATATTTCAAATCTTTGACTTGATTCTTGGGATGCTCTAGTCTGCTGTTGAATCTCTGTATATTATTCTTTATTTATGCTTAATTTCTAATTGGTCCTTTTTCATATCCTTGAGAGTCTCACTATATTTCTTGGAGGTTTCTAGGAGATTACTGAGTCGCCTTATAACCATGGTTTTGAACTCTATATCCAGTAGTTTGCTTTCCTCCATTTCTTTCATTTGTGACCTGTTTCTTTGTCTCTGAATTTTGGCTGCTTCCCTGTGTTGATAGAGTGGCTTTGTGTGCTAGGTGTCCTATAGGGCCCAGTGACTCAGCCTCTCTAATTACCTGAGGTGGACACTCTTGGTGCACCCCCTTGTGGGCTGTGTGCACAGTCTTGTTGTTAAGCCTTGATTGTTGTTGGTACCACTGATAGGAATTGACTTCCAGGTCAATTGGCTGCGAGGACCAGTTGTGTCTACAATGGGAGTACTTCTGTGCTGGAGACACCCTTATGGGGCAGGACTTGCTTCAGTGGGGCTTTGGCGCTCACTAAGTCTGCCTTCTGAGTGTGACTCTTATGGATGTGAAGAGTTGTAATCTGGATGGTCTCACTCTGACCACTGGGTAGACTGGCTCTTGGATCTCGTAGGGCAGTGATGGCAAACCTATGACACGCGCACGTGTCAGAGGTGACACACAAACTCATTTTTTTGGTTGATTTTTCTTTGTTAAATGGCATTTAAATATATAAAATAAATATCAAAAATATAAATCTTTGTTTTACTATGGTTGCAAATATCAAAAAAATTTCTATGTGACACGGCACCAGAGTTAAGTTAGGGTTTTTCAAAATGCTGACACGCTGAGCTCAAAAGGTTCGCCATCACTGTCCTAGGGGGTGCAAAGTCACCCACTGCCTAAGGCTACCCAGCAGGAGCTACAGAGAGATCTGCAGATTCCTCCTCTTTGTTTGGGATTTAGAGGTGCCCAGATGAGGCATAGCTGTGAAGTAATGCAGTCTGCTGAGGAGCCTTAGGCCTTTTGGAAACTCTGGGTTTCTCTGACCCAGCTGCAGTTTGACAGGTTTTTAGGCTGAGAAAGGCCAGGCCATTAGTATGCAAAAGCCTCTGCCCACAGCTTGGGTGGGGTTGTAAATTGAGTGGGGCGTGGTCTCAGGGAGTCACAGGCGGTACAAACAGCAATTGTTGCCGTTGGCCCTCCCCGCATAGGTCCTTGGGTCTCTATGTCCCTCAGCCCTGTGCAGGAACAATGAACGCTGCAAGCACCTCTGCGAGAAAGCCTCCCTCACGTTCAGGCCCAATGCAAGACAGTACAGTTTCTCTCCGTATGTGTTTGGGTCCCCAGATTCTCACCCAGAACTGGACTTCAGAGCAGTCGGGAGCTTGTATCTCCCTCCCGGTTGAAAAAGACAACAGCGTACCAAGCTGCCAGCCCCTTTCGTGCACACCTCTGCACCTCCTACTGGACTCAATGCACTTTTCTCTTTCCTTCTAGTGGTAGAATTTCCACTTAGCCAGCCTTCCCATGGTTCTGGATGCTATTCATTTTGTCTTTTAGTTGTAGTTTTAATGTGGTTGTACGCAGCAGCAAGTTCAGGTGTTTACCTATCCCGCCATCTTGGTTGTCCTCCAGAATGTCCCTTCTTTAACCAACACAAGGCAATCATGGTTAACAGAGCATGATTAATATTTCCCATAACTACAGCTAGTCCCCAGTATTCTATCTTTGCCCCTAACAGAAGCAAGGTGCCAAGGAAAAGGCAGATGGTTGATTTGCAACAGGACTTCCTGGGGAAGGGGGCACTTGATCCATTGTTCACTGATACTTTTCTTGGTCAGTCCTCCAAATCTTGATTACTTTTGGGAGATGGGATATGCTTACATTCGCATCTTAGGGAGCCTGAGTTCTGGCTACACTTGTAGGGAAAAGGGCCTCCAAGGGAGTGGTTTGGTGGGCAGGTTAACCTGCCTAAGGAGGCTTGTCCTGTGAGCCCTAGCAGTCCTGGGCTAGAAAAAGATTGCTGGTGGTTACTTCAGCCGACAGGGTCATGTTGGCTGAAGCAGTATTTCTGCTTCTTCCCTCTTGCTTCTAAGTGCTGATGGGACATTTCTTCAAGGGGGCACCAGATATATGGCTGCATTCAGAACACGTTCTTTACTGTTTCTTTCCCCTGGAATGGCCTTCCTATACCCATCTCTGTCCTGACTAACCCTCCATCTCTTCCTCCATGAAACCTCTTTCCCAGACAACCTGTTTTCCCTTTATCCTTAACTCCAAAAGGCCAACTTTCTCTTCCATCTAGGATTTTCTGGAGGGAACTCTGGAATTAACATTTTGTGCTACCCTGGTGGGCCTGAAGAGATCTTGGGAGTCTAAAGGAAGACATTGAATAAATGTAAATGTCTACTTGGTCTGGCTCTGGAAAGGGCATATAAAGGCCAAAGTTAAAATACTTCTGCTTTAAACCTGACATTCAGGGCCTATAGGCTGCTCTGGAAATCTGTATTGTCCTGAGAGAGAAATAATATTGCTGTTTCAGGTAGAGGCCAACAGGTCACATAATGGTAAAGCCTATAACTAGGGTCAAAGCTCATCTTTGGGCTCCAAGATTGGATCTAGTATCGTTTGCTGACACACCTACCCCACCAGTAACTCCAAATGGCCTTTGAGAGTTAAGCCATTAAACTCCAGATTATGTGGTTCTGTGGCCCAAAATCCAAACAGGTAACAGCAATCTATATCTCATTCACACCCCAGATCAGTGAATCTTGCGGCTACCCCTCCCATCCTGCTAGGTCAGGGAGCACAGTGGAAGGACTGGCTCTAGGGAGAGGGGCCTGGCCTCCAGGAGAGTCTGTCCTTCCTCAGCTTTCCAGTTTCCTGTAGTCCTGGGATTACTTGTTGCTGGGTTGATAGAAGTGAAGATTCAGGAGGATGGCCAATAGAAATGAGTTATTGGATTCAGAAAGATGTCCTGGCACTAGTCACAAGAACAACCCTCCCGAATAAGTCAATTCCCAAAGAAAGAGGATGCCTATTGGGCCTTGTGCTGACATCATCTGATCAAACCCCATCCTATGAAGCAGGAATTGTCTTCAGTTTACTTTTTAAAAAATTTTTCTTTCCTTTTTTTAAATTTAAATTCTTTGTCGTTTAAAGCATTGGTCACCAACTGGTGGTCTGCGGACCACTGGTGGTTCGTGAGGTCCAAAAGGTTGGCAACCGCTGGTTTAAAGTATTAGATGAATCTCCTTTTCCCCCCATTGACCTCTCCCCAGCCGCTCCCAACCCCCAGCACATGTCCTCATCCCCTACTGTCTGTGTCCATTGTTCAACTTACTTTTAAGGAACTGGACTCTTACACATTAAATTCCAGGAATAGTCATAGGGCTAGTGAATGGAATTGTAACTAAGATATAACGATGAAACACAAGCTTTCTTCTATACTATGCTACTTTTTAGCAAAATGACAATCAACTTAAACTCGATGTGACAAATTTTCAATATGCATCTAATGTGAGCAAGGATATGCTGCATTTGTCTCTGCCAGAGTTTCATGGACAGCATTTTTATAACTATTGGATGATCAACATCTGTAACCAATAGTTTGCAACCAACTCTCTAGTTTAATAAATGCATTTCAATCTTGGAAATACAGTCAAACCTCAGTTCTCAAACATCTTTTATCTCGACCAAGTTGTTCAAGAAAAAATGTCTCGGCTGTTGAACCAAACTTCGGTTTTGGTTTTCGACCTGACAACCTTTTCTGCTGATACCTCAGCATGACAGCCTCTGTCTGGCAACAAGGAGAGAATGCTTTTGTTGCTGGTGAAATTTTGTTGCTAGCACAATTTTAAAATGTAAGGAGGCCATCAAGAGTGCTAATGTTGTAAGGGTGTGAAAGAAACAATGACCATATACAATTGAAGAGGTAGAAAAACTTACAGATTTGGAAAAACATTTAAAAATATATTTTTATTGATTTCAGAGAGGAAGGGAGAGGGAGAGAGAGAAATATCAAAGATGAGAGAGAATCATTGATTGGCTGCTTCCTCCAGGCCCCCAACTGGGGATCGAGCCCCCAACTTGGACATGCACCCCTGACCCAAATCGAACCTGGGGTCCTTCAGTTCCCAGTCCAACGCTCTATCCACTGAGCCAAACCAGCTAGGGCTGGAAAAACATTTTTATCCAAAACCAGACTGACAGCATTTCGGAGGCAGTGATATATGAGCAAGCAAAGACGTTGCATGCTGAAAAACACCCCTGGGATGTGTGCTGAAAGAACTTTGTTTAAGGCTAGTAGGGGGAGGTTTGATAAATTTAAGAAAAGAAGTGTTTATTTATAGATTAAACAGTATATAAGAAAGGTTAAAATGGAATCATTTGTGGGTCTGGAAAGGATTAATTCAACTTGCATTATTTCTGATGGGAAAAAAATGATTTGGTTTTCGAACAAATCACTTCTTGAACAGCCTTCCAGAACAAGTTATGTTCAAGAACCAAGGTTCCACTGTATATCTAGATTTAGAACTTAAAAATGCAACATAGTACAACATTGACCAGATCACTATCCCCCCATACCTCCAGAGTTGTCCACCACTACTTATCTAAGGAACCAAAGAGGGCCACTTATGCCATTCCTCTCTCTCTGAGTAGGGAATATGATTCTCCTGGTAGGGCATGGCCTTTTTTTCTTTCAACAACTTCATGTGCTCTCACCACTTCAATAAACAAGCATTTATGTCCTGTCTTCAACTAAAGGACCCAAATAGGCTCACAGAAGAAATTGAAAGATTTTATCTCAAACAGAAATTTACTTTTGGGCTCGCTTTTTCCTCCCATCTTATCTGAGCTAAAGGAAAGCAGAATGGAGGCCTGTGATTCAGCTGCAAGCAGTGTCTGCCTGAGCAGGTCACATCCATTGGTCTAATTTTCCAGGAAAAGCAAAGAACCTAAAAGAAGAGTCTTAACGATTTTTAATGAAGCAACATTGTATCTGCTCTCAAAACTTCGCTGAATAAAGGCAAGGGTTTACATTTGTTTCCTGATGCAACTTCTGTTATCACTGGTTGTTAGCCAATTACTGAGAAACTGGAAAATGCCTTGGAGAAAATGTAAGAAAAACAACAATATTGGTATAAATATACAAGGCTGAAAACAGAAGTGCTGACTCCAGCAAAGATCATTGACTCTCATATTCTGACTTAGTATTTCCTGATGGTCAGTTCTGCACTAATATTAATACCTTCTATAGGATTCTACTCTCAGGGATTTCAGCCCTACTAAAGTATTCACATGGCCCCAATTTGTGCTTCCTGACCCTAAGAACGGAAGGGCCTTGCGCTCGCGCTCCAAGTACATTGCGCCCTCCCCAGTTCTCCCTTCCCCCACTCCCGAGTCCGAGCGCCCCAAAGGAGGGCCCAACCACCAACCAGCCCACGATCTCCATCTCTCCCCACCTTCTGATCCCATCTCAGGCTCCCCAACCTCCTGTTCAGCTCAGTCTCCGAGGTGTGCATTAGGATGGGCATCCGGAGGGGTGGGGCGGCGCTGAGGGAATGCTGCCGGGGACCCCTATATCTGGGTACCGCCCCAATAGGCCAGGGCATCAGGGTGGCCTGGACCGAGGGTCAGGAGAGGAGCCCTCCTCAACATGCTAATTGGCGGCAACAGGTGGCCAAGGCGCCCGAGGGTCTGGGGGGGAGGGGGAGGTCTGCGGAGCTCCGAGGGCGGATCCTGCCGCCTCTTCGCTTCCTCATTGGCCTCCACCGAGCGTCAGCATGAGTCAATGTACAGTGTCCTTCCGCCACAGAATATAGTCCTTCCCAAAAGGGCAACCTGCAGGCCCGTTCCGGCCTCGCGGCACTTCCTTCTGAATGACTGCTCCCCGTGAGCACGCAGAAGGGCGGGCCGGGCGAGCGGGAAGCCAGGATTGGGTCGGGGGCGGGGCGGCGGAGGGATTGCGGCGGCCCTACTGTCGGGATAACCTTGAGGCAGAGACAGCGGAGTCTGCACAGGAGTGACGCCTCCGAAGCCTCGAGACCTCCCAGCTGCAGCTCCTGCCGGACCACGCCAGAGGTGAGCGGGGGCCGAGGTTGCGCCATGCATGCCCACCTGGACCCCGTCGGCCCGGCTCGTGCGGATTCCTGGCACCCATTCCACGGCGGTGTTGGATCCTGGGCATCCTGGACCTGGTGGGGCTGGGGGAGAGAAGCTGCTCGCACCCAGGGCCTGTTCTTCAAAGCCCCCAGCTCCCGTTTCTTCCAAAGTCAGATGGGTCAGCCAGCCCTTTTCCTGCCTCAATCCCTACTCTCATTCTGGCCCCATTCTCGCTACCCACTTTCCTTCCTAATCTGCTCCCCGCTCCCTTTCTCCCCTTCCCGTTCTCTTGCTCGCCTCCCCTTCCCCCTTAATACGATGCCTTCGCCTCCTCATCTTCAACCTGCCCTTTACCCCCTCATTCTGATGCTTTCCTTGTAACCTCTCCATGAAAGCCCTCTAGCTCCCCCCGCCGCCATTCCTCCCCCCGCACGTCCTCGTGCCTTCTGCACACCCACCCCTGCCCCATTCATGCTCCGCTTCTCGCCCCTCCCCTCCATTCGGATCACGTCTGCTCCTCCGCATCCTTGTCCTCCGCGCCGCGCGGTCCTCGCCCCTCCCACTCCGTTCTGGTCACGTCCGTCTACTCCCCGCCCCCATCGCCCATGTCCCATCGCCCATCTCTGTCCAGTCCCTTCTCCATCACGCATCCGTCTCGGGCTCTCCTGGAGCCCCGGGCGCGTGGCCCCCGATGGGCAGGTTTGGCCGGGTGCAGCCGCGATGCAGCGGTGGCCCGGGTTATGTAACCCGTGACCTTCCCCGCCTCCTGGGAAGAAAGGGTGGATGCTCCTGGGACGCCCCAGATTCGATGGGGGTGGCCGCGGCGCTGCGACCGCCCGCGAGAGCGTCGCCGGGCTCCATCCGGCCGCGGTGGGGCTGCACGTAGCGGCCGGCGTCGGGGACCCGCCCCGCGGCGCGACGGGCCTGCGGCCGGTTTCCGCGCGGCCTCACCTGCAGCGCGATCTGCCGCGCAGGCGGCGGAGGCCACGCCTCTGCTTCCCGTTGCTTAATTAACAGACACTCCCGACTGTGGGGCGCGGGGTGGGATGGAGTAGGTGTGGGCTGGCACCACGGACCGCGTTCACTCAATAAAAACTGCCAGTTGTTTGGGGGAAAGGGATGGAGACCGGGATGACTGGATCGGCCGTAGTCCACAGTGTTCGCATTCTTACTAGAGAACTCACGCTGGTTGTGTGGTGAGGAAGGGACGCCCTTCCTGCTCGGGGAAGCGGGTGGCGGGTGCCAGGAGGCCTCACGAGCTGGCATCACACTGAGTTTGAATAAGTAGGAAAGCACCTTATGGTCTGAAGGTTATTTAAAGGCAAGGTCATGGAAAGACTTCTTATGCATGTCTTCAAAACAGGATATTGCTCCTCTCCAGTACCAGAGAGCCTGATGGATAGAGGCATTGGGGAGTTGTCAGCAGGCTTTTAAGATTAGGTTTGACTCATTAACATACTGATAAGAATAATGAAAGGAATTCGGCCTCAGGACCTCAGTTTTCCCTGTAGGAACCTGAAGTAACGTTTTTCTCCTGATTGTTTTTAGACACATATACACACACCACGTTGAATAGTCAGTGCAGTGTCTAATCTATGGTGAGATCTCAGAAATGCCTCCAAATGTACACTTTTAGTCACTGAACAAATTAATACATAATTGGGCACGAAGGCTCTTCATGCCATCCCCATACACAGTTCATAGTTATCCTTGGGAGTCTCTAAAGCCAGATATCTCCTCAGGGATCCTGGTACAGTGTTTACAAAGTAACTAATAGCGTTACTTTGAAACTCTCCATTTGCAATGGGTTTTCTTCCCCTGAGAATAAGGACCTCTTGACAAAAAGGCAAGGGGGTGGGGGATTTCAGTCTTTAGTGTTTGGCTATAAGAAAAGAAACAAACTTGCATCCCCAAGACTGAAATCTTTACCTTTTACTCCCAACTTGCCTAGATTCTAGGATTTGCCCAGCCAGCTGGTAAGGGTGAGATAAGGATGGCAGTAGCCCCCCTCCCCCCCCCCCCCCACTGGAGGTGTGGCCACTCCCTAGGGTGATAGGAGGGCCTAGGTCAGGACTCCCACTCTGTAGCATTGTTAGCAAATAATTTGTCCTCTGGTTATTCAAGGATGCTGCTGGGAATACAGTGGGGTTGTTCAGAAGGGCTTGGTATGTTACTATCAGCATCTTTGGGCGTGGGGGTGGGGAGGCTCTGTGGGGAAGATGACTCAACCTTTCAACTTAACCGCTTTTGAGAGAATTCTCTTCGTTGGGTGAGTGGGAAACTATGTTATGATCTTTGCAGGTTTAAAAAGTCCCCTCTCCCCTTTCAGTGAGTCAAATAATGAAATATGCATTTGCCCTAGTTAAAAATATCTCAGCTACAGTGAAAAGTGGTTGGTCCAGGTCCCCGGCTCAGTACTGCCCTCTAAGAGCAGAAGTGCAGTGCAGCAGAGACCTATACCCAGTCTGTGCACATTCCAGAGCCTTCTGTGGTGGGTGTGGCCACCTCTTGAGATAAGGGCTGTAGTAGATACGAATAAGGCCTGAAAGAATGTCCTTGAACTCATTTCTGAATTACTGGATTTGAGCCAGAAGATATGGACATTAGAATCTTCCTGTCTACTACAGCTGCTCCCATTTTAATCACTGCATTAGAAGTAAATTTAGTGTTGAATTTACAGTTTAACCAAGAGCATTAGTAGGTCTTTAAGAAATGTACCCTCAGTGATTTGGCAAATTTGGTAGCTGTGACTCCAAACAGCTAGCACCTATGGGAGTTATTTCTGAGCCTTGAATGTTGGGACATCAATGTGGAGTCATAGGAAAAACCATTTCATTTTTTAAAACTGTTTATTTCTTAATGATGAGGCAATGGAAGGAATGAGGAAATGGTTGTGAGTGGGAAGGTAGAAAAATGCCACTCTTGCATTAAAAACTCATACTACATGAGTTTTAATCTATTTTGCTTCAGCTTTTATGAAGACATGCCAGGAGGTGTTATTTTGACCCAGAGCTAAGGCTGAGATCAAGGTGGGGAAAGTGACTCATTTGACATTATTGTCATTTCTGAATCATTTTGAGGATCCAAAAGATGAAATCCCAATTAACTGGCACACCACAGAATGTGAGCAGAGTTTTCTTGCAATCTTACGAGATGTATAAGTGATTTATTTGGTAAAAAGTCTTATAGTACCTTGAGTCATCACTTTAAGCATCACATTCTGGTACAGATAGGGATAGAGTTAAATAAAGACCATTCTTTTTTTTTTTTTTTTTTTTTTTTAAATGAAGACCATTCTTAATGCCACCATACATTCTCTGAGAGGCAGCCTTAGACTAAATAAATGAATAGTCTGCTTCTTCAGGACTTTGTCAAAGAAGCTTTTTGGGGAAAGGTGAGCCAAAGGGGATGGTAGGTGGTGTAGTGCAGCCTGGGCTGGGCCCCTGAGCAGTGCTGCTCCACCCCTGCAGCGGTTCGTGCCAGTCTGCACGTAGGAGAGCGAGACTGCAGTACCTCTGGTGGCCTCTGAGACTAACCTCCCCCACTCCTGACCACAGGCAAAGCTCCTCTGGCGCTTTAAGCCTCTTTCCTGATGTCAGCAAGCTGTGTTTGGAAGTCAGGCAGGGGCTGTGGTGGGGAGATGCCAGGACCCCACTGTGATAAGGCAGGGAGGTTGCTGGTCATAGCATTTCTGAGTATGAGGCAGGTTAGCTGATACAGTCCAAAAATTTTTCTGAAAGTAGCCCCATCCCTTCTAAAAATCTTTAATCAACCTACAAAGAGATGATATTTCTTTAACTTTGGACAGCAGGTCTCCTGTCCCAGGTGAGTCAGCTGAGTCGGCTTGGTGGGCAAACCCGTGCCCATTTTGGAGAAGCCCTGGAGTTCTGATCCAGGAAAATGCAGGGAGGTGAAGACTTGGTATCTGATATCCCTCTTTTGTTATTATTTTAGAAAGCAGACTCACAAAAGGTACCCCTCAGATGGCATCAAATGTTGGCGAAGGGGTGGTGAGGCAAGAGCGGACATATTGGTTATTGTAAATGGATAGAACCACTTTGGAGAGCAGTTGAGCAATATTTAGTAAAGTGGAAAATAAGCATACCCTGTGGCCCAGGAATTTTATTTCTAGGCATATAGAAGCTCACACCCGCACAATGAGACATATACTAGGAAAGCTACAGTATTGAAAGCTGAGGAAAATTGGCACAGTGGGGGTAGGTGGGGGAGGGGGGGGTGGCCAGCCAGTAAGGGAATACATAAATAAAGCATCTAGCTGTGCAGTGGACTGGTGTAGTAGTTCACATGAATTTATTAGATCTGTATATCAACTAGATAGATGTTAAATGTGCTGAATGAAAAACCAAGTGTGATGATATTTGTACAGTATACTATATTTAGGGCATTTTAGAGAACAGCAATATTACGGGGCTCGGTATAGCTATGGACACACTTAAATGAACTAGAAGGATAAAAAATGTGTGATATTGGTTGGTGTCAATGTTTTTGATGGGGTGTGGAAGAGGTGAAGAGACCCGGGGATGGAGAAAAATAATCTATAAAATTGTAATTGTTTTTTTAAAAGTCTAAAAAGAAATCTGGCTAAATGTTAATGGTCAGTTCTGGGTGGCAGACATACAGATGTTAGTAGAAATACAGATGTTAATATTTCTTTAGTTCAAAACAAAAAAAGAAGTTAACCTATTAAGGTCACTGTAGGAAGACCAGTCACACTAACTAGGTCAGTGCTCTTGGTCAGCTGGCACTGCCTTCCTTCCATCCCTCCCTTTCTCCCTCCAGCTATGATGCAGGTCGGCTCCTCTAAATGCTGAGGCCACCACCCAGCCTGGTTGTACCTGACTTGGAAGAGCCCTAAACCAAAATATGAATCCCATGCCTGGAAGCACTGCCTCATTTCCTTAAGCCTAGTAGGAAGCACCGTAACACAGCAAAGCTTCATCCAAACTTCCTCCTTGGCATCTGAGGACAGGGAGGTTTCCCTGACTTGGTTCTTCTGCCCTGGAGTTGTCTGTTCCATTTGGGATTGGGCCCTTTCAGGCTCAGCTTTTGTGTCCTATTCCACACTCCAGTTTGAAAAAGGACCTTAGGCTCCTGCTTATTAGGTTTAAGTCACTTCGTTCTAGCCCTGAATAAATAAAAGCAAGGGAATTTTACTTGAACCCACAGGTGGGTTCATTCTGTGTAACCAGGTAAACTAGACTTTGCTTTCTGTTATGTGCCTGCTGAGGGTAGCACAGACTTCTGATTCACATTTCTTAGTTAAAAATTGCTTACCCTCCATAACCCACTCTGTATGCAAATACACTGTTTCGTTACTCTAACTGTACATCAGGATGCATGCCCATTCACTCCAGACCCTAGGTTCTGTGGCTGGCCCAGGGCCCGTTTGCATCTTCTTGCTGCCATCGTCAGATGAGGGCCACCCTTGGGAGTTATATTCATTGATGAGAGAGAAACATCGATCAGCTGCCTCCTGCACACTCCCTACTGGGGATGTGCCCGCAACCAAGATACATGCCCTTGACCGGAATCGAATCTGGGACCCTTCAGTCTGCAGGCCGACGCTCTATCCACTGAGCCAAACCGGTCAGGGCATGTTTGGTTTTTTGTATGAATCCCCCAACTCCCTGCTGGTTTCTGAAGAGTGGCACAAATGACACTATAGCTTTAGAGAGCCAGGAGCCACTTGAGAAGAAAGGAAAGGTGGAAATAGGAGCACCTGGAGCTGAGCTGACTGCCTACTCTGTCCTGTCAGCCTGTCCTGAGGCCTCTGATGGTGTCTTGTTTCCAACACAGGAGAAATGGCTCTGAGGAAGATCCTGCTGCAGGGCCTCAGGCTCAAGAATAAAGCTCCTGTGCCCGGGCACGGCGTTTCCCGCCATCAGTGGATACACCGGGCTTCCACTGCTGCCCGGAGGTTGGCTCTGCATGTCTGTGCCTCCCAAGGAGGAGGATGCAGTAGTGAGTCAGCCTGACAGGGCTGGGCAGCATGTCCTGGCAGGCACTGTCCAGGCGGCCAGCATGAGGAAGGGAGTTCTTCCCAGAGGCAGGCCCTGCGAAACCAGGACTGGCTTTCCAGAAAGTGTTTTAGGCAGAATTCTAGGTGGTGGGTGTGATTGGCTGCTTGTCCTCTGGAGAAGAGGTTCTAGAGGCCCTTGGAGACAGGCAGGCAGACCAGTTAGCTGGTAAGCCAGGCGTGAAACATGAGGTCTCTGGTTTGGAAGAAGCCTCTAAGAACATGCTGAGACCTTGTAGGAGTCTGGTCTCGCTTGCTGACAAGGAAGGTTTTTTTTTTATTGCTGGTATGTATTTCCACTCAAATACCAGATAAGTTTTTTTTAAATATATTTTATTGATTTTTTACAGAGAGGAAGGGCGAGAGATAGAGAGTTAGAAACATCGATGAGAGAGATACATCGATCAGCTGCCTCCTGCATACCTCCTACTGGGGATGTGCCCCAACCAAGGTACATGCCCTTGACCGGAATCAAACCTGGGACCATTCAGTCCGCAGGCTGACGCTCTATCCACTGAGCCAAACCGGTTACAGCCCAGATAAGTTTTTATTAGTTATTTTTGTGAACAAACATAACTAGGTGAACATAAGATCAGAGCTTGTAAACCTTGATTTAATTTGAGATGGTGAAATAGGGTTAGTGTTTGAGCCCAATATAATTGTATCTGCTAATGGCATTCCCTGGTCCTGGAGGCAGGCCTTCTGTACCAGAACACCTTTGTAACAAAGATTTTGCTATGAAGCCTGAGGACAGACTAAACAAGAAAAGAAGCTTGCTGGATTTGGTCACATAACTAACAGGTTTTGGCATTACATTTTTCTATGAACTATATTATTAATATTTTTATTTTATTTATTTGCTTTGAGGTTCTGAACACATCAGGTTGACCTTTTTTTATTTTTTAATGTTTCAGAGAGGAAGGGAGAGATAGAAACATAAATGATGAGAGAGAATCATTGATCAGTTGCCTCCTGCACGCCCCCTCCTGGGGATCCGACCTGCAATCCGGTATGTGCCCTGATGGGGAATTGAACCATAACCTCCTGGTTCAAGGTTGATGCTCAACCCCTGAGCCACACGGGTGGTGGTGGGGGGGTGGGGGTGACCTTCTTAAGCCGGTGAAACTGTCCAATTGTGACCTAGGGCCTAAGATGCATTATCTTACTTGCCACACTTAAATAGGGTATTCCTAAAGTATATAAAACAGCAATTGCGTAATAGAACCAGGAGATTCATATTTGTATTTTGTTTTTGCTATATGTATTTATATATCTGTGTGTATATATACATATACACACACACACACACATTTTTTTATTGATTTCAGAGAAGGAGAGGGAAGAGAGAAACATCAATGATAAGAGAGAATCATTAATCGGCTGCCTCCTGCACGGCCCCTACTGGGGATTGAGCCTGCAACCTAGGCATGTGCCCTTCACCGGAATCAAACCCAGGACCCTTCAGTCCCCAGGCTGACGCTCTGTCCACTGAGCCAAACCAGCCAGGGCATCATATTTGTTTTTAATTTCAACACTTTTACCAGGATGCTTGTAAACATATTGTTTTTGAAGAGATATGTTTGTAATTTTTCTTATTATAAAAGTTTTTCATATTAGTAAATTCATTAATAAAGACAAAAAATGTTGCTGTACTTCTATCATCCTGACAACATACTGTTAATATTTGGGTAGCTATCCTTCTAGCCCTTTTATGTATGCTTAATTTAGTAACATAGCTGAATCTCTAGGAGCAGCTCCCACCTGGATACCTGGTTATTAAAGTAATTTTTCCATTACCCCAAAGAGCTTTAGTTATACTCGGCTTTCACACCTGCATCCTTGTACAGTTCTGCAGGGAAAACCTTACTCAGCTCCGAGCAGTCTTTGCAAGTGGGGCCAAGGAGCCACCCTGAGCCAAACAAAGAGCATTATGTCACCGGAGGCCCAAGCCCAGAGAGCACAAGGTATGACCAGTAATCAGTGGCCCCAGGCAGATCTTTGCAAGGAGACCCTAATGTCTCAGGTCTAGTGAAGAGCAGGCTGATGCTTTTTTTTTTTTTAATATATATTTTATTGATTTTTTTACAGAGAGGAAGGGAGAGGGATAGAGAGTTAGAAACATTGATGAGAGAGTTACATCCATCAGCTGCCTCCTGCACACCCCCTACTGGGAATGTACCTGCAACCAAGGTACATGCCCTTGACCAGAATCGAACCTGGGACCTTTCAGTCCACAGGCCAATGCTCTATCTACTGAGCCAAACTGGTTAGGGCCAGCTGATGCTTTTAAAGAAGAGTGGGGTTAGTTACTCCAACCCAGTCATTCAGACCTTATTTTGTTCATGACACAGTCTTTGGGTTGGATGGCTCTCTCTACTTGGAGGCCCCAATGAGGCCTTTGTGTTCCAGTTGCCCCATATGCCACCTGCAGGGTACATCTCCTCAGTCATGTTCCCTTAACAGCCATACTTATTTAAGCCTGGCTGGGTGTTCTGAAGGCACGCAAGCCCTGCTTCAACTGAGTGCAAGTACAAGGACCTTGGCTGTCCAGCCATCCTGCTGTAAATCAGAAGTTCTTCAGATTTGGCATGGGAGAGTGGAGGTACAACTTTGATTTTGACAAAGAGGCATTAAGACACACGAAGAGGTATTCAACAGACACTGGGATATGTCCAAGTGCTTAAAGGTACAGAACAAAATAGGTCATGGAGGAGAGGGTTGACGTTGATTTTTGGAGACCTGGTAAGTATTAGGGAGTTACTAGGAAATGCACATTGAAAAGGAACGGTGTGTTTGGAATGTGGAATAGTTAGCCGGTAACTTGTTTTTTATTTTAAAAGTTTTAGGTTCTGTGGTTGAAGACTTATAGCCATTAGTTTTTAACAGCTGACAAAAGGTTTGCTCACAACTGGTCACAAAGCTTTTGGGGCTTTTACCAGGTTTCTTAAAGATGGCAGAGATGAGTTTAGTTGCATGCTCTTCTGGATCCACCCAGAGAAGCCACAAAGTCAGGGATGGAGGAGGAGAAGTAGTAAGGTTATACGTATTGGAAGGGTGTGGGGGTATTTGGAGCCCTGAGACTGAGGAGGAGGTGGGACAGGGATAAAAAGGGATTTGTTCCTGAGCCTGGGCTGAACCGTTTAAGCTTGAGGACTTTCGAAGGAATGGCCTTGGTCTGAGAACTGGAGGAAAGGGACAGCCTTCTGATGAGGAGTGTCAAGCTTCTGCGGGCATCCTTGCCTGACAATTCTTCAGAGCACTGGCCACAAGCTTCTCACTTCTTTGTCTCAAATCAGCTAACGAACTGGCTGAGTGAGTTTAGTTATAAGTCAGTAATGCAGAAAAGCAAAGGTCAGGACAGTTGTCAGGATTGTAACCTTTGCTGATTAATTACCTGGAACAGATGGTCTTTGTTACTGGGAGTGGTGTGCTTGTCAGACTTCAAAGGGCAGTTAGGATGGTGCATCAGGAAATCAGTTGGGAAAAAGATTTGACAAGCAACTTTAATCTCCTCTTGTTGCAAATACAGCTCATTTTAGAACTAGAGTAGAGCCATTGTGGTTATCCTTGATTTTATGCAAATTGCTTTGCACATCCTAAAGTCCTGAGCAAAAGTAGATGTGGTTTTTAGGTACATACTCCTGGGACAAAAGATTTTGCATTCAGAATTCCAGTGGGACTTTGTTTCGTGCCCGGGGATTGGTTTTTATTGCTTATCAGTGGGCTAGGACTTACTTGGGCGAGTCAAATGAATTTATATGGTGCTTTGGGTGAGTGGAAATCTAGGACTCCGGAGCTAGGAGGACTGTCTGCGTGGTGGTTTTCTTCAGAACCAGGAACATCACTTGGAGTTTGAGTGGGGATTGTTAAGATGCAATGTGAATGCCCCACCCTTCGCAGATATTTGTAGCTTTGAGACAACTTATCATACAAAGGTCTAGATTTACTGAGGTTCTAAACTAGGAGTCAGTTGTTTATATCACTGGACGGTGGTTACAATTTTCTTTTGAGGAAGCTCCTTTGGGGCATGTAAAATGATAATATTTATAGGATTATCAGGAAAGCTGTCAAGGTAGAAACTAGGCCAGTGTGAGGGAGATCTGCTTACAGTAGATGCCTGGGAAGTACATGCATTGATTGGGTCTGAGGTTTTAACTTGCTCATGGTCCCGTGAGCCCTTTGCCTGACTTGAGGAACGCCCACATAGTCAGAGTATGCAGTGCTCCCTGTGGCTTGTGCACAAAACTTGCTTATTGAGTTAATGTGTAAGCAGGAAACGGCCTCCTGTGCCAAGCAGTGTCGAACAGCCCGGGCTTCTCAAATTCATCATGCTCTTCAATTCCCTGGACCCAGGACCTCAGAAGCCATGTCGAAGCCCCAGAGCGATGTCGGGACTGCCTTCATTCAGACGCAGCAGCTGCATGCAGCCATGGCTGACACGTTCCTGGAGCACATGTGCCGCCTGGATATTGACTCGCCGCCCATCACGGCCCGGAACACTGGCATCATCTGTACCATTGGTGAGTGGGTGTGTCCCTCCTCTAAAACAAGGCTTCATGTGAAGAGATCTTTTCTCTCCTAAAAAGAATAAATGCAGCAAACCTGGGTGGTGAGTGAGATTCTACACCAGTGATGGCGAACCTTTTGAGCTCAGCGGGTCAACATTTTGAAAAACCCTAACTTAACTCTGGTGCCATGTCACATATAGAAATTTTTTGATATTTGCAACCATAGTAAAACAAAGACTTATATTTTTGATATTTATTTTATATATTTAAATGCCATTTAACAAAGAAAAATCAACCAAAAAAATGAGTTCACATGTCACCTCTGACACGCGTGTCATAGGTTCGCCATCACTGGTCTACACAGATTCTTTGGGAGCTCAGACCATAGGAAGCTGCAATAAAGAGTAAGTATGCTTTGTTTCTGCAAAATGAAGACGGCATCTTCCTTCGCGTATCTCTGTAGGATCATCTCCAAGACCAAGGAAGATCTTCTTGTCATTCTCTGTGCAACCAAGATTCTTTGGTTGGACATCTGGCTTCAGGGAGAGCAACATATCAAGAGTTCTTTAATCCTAAGCAAGTTTCAAGTGTTAATCCTTTGAATAATTAAGACTTATGTCTTTAAAACTTTGTTCACCAGGCCCTGCTTCCCGATCGGTGGAGATGTTGAAGGAGATGATTAAATCTGGAATGAATGTGGCTCGCATGAACTTTTCTCATGGAACTCACGAGGTGAGCCTTGGTAGACAGTTTGGCCACTGAGATGGCTTGTAAGATGCAGTGCTTATTTGGCACCAGTGGACCAGGCAAGAATGAGTCTGGGGTTTACAGCCAATGGAAAAATGGCCTTCACTAGACTATTCCTTCTCTCCTTTTCCCCTCTCCTGCTATCTCAACTGGCCATGTCTCCTTAAACAAAGACCTTCTTTGTCAGTGGCCATGGTTCTCCCACATACCTGGGCTACCATTAGTCCTCACAAAGGAAAGTGGAAGGATTCTACTGGAACCCTCTCTGAGCCATTAGGTGTCTTGGCCATAGGGCTTGACACTCCCACCCAGGGTTTCTGTACTAGCTCATAATGCAGTGACGAACCAGAAGGTCACCCTACATGTTGATTCTGGCCTAGTTTAGACCAAGATAACTAGGCAGGTCCAGGAGAAGGGTTTCCACTATGGCAAGGTAAGGACTGAGTTTAAAGCACTAGCAGGTGCGCTGTTGGCACAGTAGGTAGTGCGTCCGTCTCACAAAGCACTAACTGTCTGGCATTTATTCCCAGCTTCATCAGCATTGTGTTCCCAATCTCTCCCTTCCCAAGGGTTCAAGTCCTAGCACTTTCCCAGGAAGCTGGTAGGATTGTATTAGTGCTGGGCTGTTTACAAGCTGACTTGACCTGTGGACACTGGCCTTACCAGGGACCAGGCAGCTCTTGGGAAGCCCTCCATTCCTGCTTCTGTTCCCAAGGTCAGAATGCCGTTTAAAAGCCTTTAGGCTCAAGCACAGGCCCTGAGATTTCACACTGGCATTGATAGAAGAGTAATGGATGAGCCAAACTTTCCCTGCTCTTTTTTGTTGTTGTTGTTGTCTTTTGTTAATCCTCACCTGAGGATATTTTTACATTGATTTTTGGGAGAGTAGAAGAGAGAAAGACAGAGAGAAACATCAATTGGTTGCCTCTTGCATGAGGCCTGACCAGGGCCTGGGCGGGGGAGGAGCCTGCAACCAACGTACGTGCCCTTGATCGGAATCAATCCCGGGTCTTTGGCCCACAGGCTGATACTCTATCCACTGAGCCAAATGGCTAGGGCCAAACTTTCCCCACTCTTGACTTCTGAATAAAGAGAATGCTACCCTATATGGGCGGGGGAGGGGTTGCCCTCTGGTATTTGGAAGTTGGTGTTAAGTTTAGACTAAAAATAAAGCCTCAGAAAGAGCAATCCAAGAGGTGAATTCCTCCTGTCTGGAAACATGAGACTTCATCATAGCTTCCCAACCCATTTTCCGTAAACAGCCTATGGCCTGGCAGGTAGCCGGCCTCCAAATGTCATGGAGACCTGACCAGGTTCAGAGGAACTGTGCTCAGCAGGCACCTCAGGCAGGTTAAAACATGCCATGACATTCTGTAATTTTCCAAAGGAGGTTCTCCGCAGGAGTCATCAGGAATTACTTAGCCCAAAGAGAGCTAAAGACATTAGTGAAAATGGGTTCACACTTGATCCCTGCTGCTAGATCAGGGATTCAGGGTCTCCTGTGTGCAGGGGAGGGAACAGAAATAGAGTTTAAGATGTTGACCTTTAACTGGGCTTTATGGCCTCTTCCATCCAGTAAAATAAAACCGCACAGCCTTGAAATGGCCAGGGCAAGTGCTGTCTGCTGCGCCTGCTGGATGGGGGCGGGCTCAGGGATTTAACTTAGAGACATTTGGAGGTAATCTGTGCTTTAACTCTTATTCACAGATTAGAATTGGAATTGAAAAAAAAAAAAACCAAGTCCCTTGTGTGGGTTTATTTTCGGTTTTTGGCCAGGATGAGGTTGTCCCTGGGATCTGGGCTTTGGAAGCTGATCTGAAATTGTTCTAATATTATATAATGTAATGTAAACAAGTTATAGTTTGTGCATCGTGGCTCTTGACTAGCCTCTGGGGCTCTCTTAACATTTTAAATGCTCTTCTAAGCAGAACATTGAAATTGCTTTTTCTCCCTCACTCTGACAGAGGAATATCCACTGGCTGCATTTGATCTCTTCACAGCTTTACCACAGTATCTCTAGCCCCCACTTTTTTAAAAAATATATATTTTATTGATTTTTTACAGAGAGGAAGGGAGAGGGGTAGAGTTAGAAACATCGATGAGAGAGAAACATTGATCAGCTGCCTCCTGCACACCTCCTACTGGGGATGTGCCCACAACCAAGGTACATGCCCTTGACCGGAATTGAACCCAGGACCCTTCAATCCGCAGGCTGACGCTCTATCCACTGAGCCAAACCCGTTAGGGCTAGCCCCCACTTTTATCAGTTCACATGGGCAAGATGTGTTGTTACTGAACATGTGGTCCCATAATGCTATGTTGGCCAGAAATACTGACTTGACCAACCTAAATTTAGACTTTTCCACGAGGGCAGCATTGAGAGATGCAATTCTTTACCAATTGGTAACATCCAACAAAGCCACAGCCACAGTGGAAGACTTCAGTAAGCCTACCAAAAGATGACCAACTTAGTGGATTTGGTAATATAATACCTGATGATCTAATTGGTTTGTGTATATGATTTTATCTACAAGACATAAATGCCTGATTATCTAACACGTTAAGCGCTGTGTCAGTCACCAGTGACTGACACTATACTTTCCGTCTGGAAGACGAAACAGGCTGGGCGGTTTAAAAACGCTGATGTTTGCCAGGCTGGCGTGGCTCTGTTGTTGAATGTCTATGAACCAGGAGGTTGTGGTTCGATTCCTGGTCAGGGCACATGCCCGAGTTGCGTACTCAGTCCCCACTGTGGGGGGCATGCAGGAGGCAGCCCATTGATGATGCCCTCTCATTATTAAATGTTTCTATCTTACTCTCCCTCTCCCTTCCTCTCCCTTCCTCTGAAATTAGTAAAAATATGTTTTCAAAATAAAAGAAAATATGCTAATAATTCAAAAATATATTAGGCATCAAAAAAAACTAAAGTTTTATAAAGTAGAAATTATATAGGCCACATTCTCTGGCTTATCTTTTTATGGAAATTGAGAATAAAGTCTAATATAGTAATCAGAAAATTTGTAAACTTAAATCTACTTGTCAGAAAGCAAGAGTCTGAAAGTAAATGAAATAAATACATATTTAATACAAAATACTAGGGGGGAAACCTAAAATAACTTTAAAAGAGTGAAAGAAAGGAATTTACTTAAAAGAATAGTTTAATGAAGTAGAAAATAAATTTGACAAATTGAGCCATGAGCTGATTTTAACAGTCTAAACCCAGTAGTGTATTAAAGTCATGACCCTGACCAAGTAAATTGTATTCTAGACACACAGTTCACAATGGGATTAAAGTGTGATCAGTGTAGTAGAAGTTGATAATAGGTAACACTCATTAAATAATTACTATGTGCTCATTTCTGTTCTAAGTGCTTCATGTATTCTCTTACATCAATTCTGAAGAAGAGGTATTTGACAGTATTCAACACCCATTCCTTTAAACTATTCCTGTATTCTATTCTGTACTATTTTATTGCAAGTCGGCAATAGAAATTTTCATAACTTTTACAATAAGGACCTCTACCTCAAAAAAGCCAGTGGTCCTCATTATAAAGTGTGCCTGAATTAGGAGCTGAGGCTTTTCAGACACAAGCTGTAGGCAACACCATGCGTGGATATTAAACCCTGGTTCAGCTCCTCTCTCTGGCCTCATACTTGCAGGAGCCGCTCTCCTGGGCAGTGGTGGTTAAAGGACAAGGCCCACACAGTGCTGAATGGGGTGCCTCTGTTGCCAGCAATGCCATATTGATTACACTTTTTAAGAACTTTTGACATCTTAGCTTTGAGTCAAATGGTAATGGCAAGTGGAAAAGAGAAGGGGCTTAAGAAAGAAGATTGACCCAGCCAGAGTGGCTCAGTGGTTGAGTGTCAGCCTATGAACCAGGAGGTCATGGTTCGATTCCCAGTCAGGGCATATGCCTGGGTTGTGGGCTCCATCCCCAGTGTGGGATGTGCAGGAGGCAACTGATCAATGATTCTCTCTCATCGATGTTTCTATCTCTTTTTCCCTCTCCCTTCCTCTGATATCAATAAAAATTATTTAGGAAGGAAGGAAGATTGAAGTCAGGATTGTTGCAAGGGAGAAATGAAAATAGCAAAGGGCAGTTAGTTCAGAGAAAGGCATACTTCCATCTTTCCCTATTCCACCTCAGTCTCTAGAAAGTAACTGTGAACATAGGCCTGCATGACCTTAGGAATAGGCCACCTTTTATTTAGCTTGGGCCACTGTTACTTAAGTAAATAACTTTAAGTTTGAATTGTAGCTGGAATCAATAGAGGAAAAGCTCAGAATTACCAAATCTACTCAGCATCTGATTGACAGACCAGTATTATCCAAACACAAGCCTGGATCTTTTACTCCTGTTGTCTGCTTTATTTGATGAGTTCTGAGAAAAAAAGAACCATTGAGGGGACACGGGCTTCTTCCCCTCCTGCCCCCCAAATTATTGGGAAGAAAGAAAAAGAGAGAGATTTTAGTACATAAACCCTACCAAATCAACCAGGCCGAAGATACATAATACCAATAATAGTTGCAAAGTTCCTCTTTGTTTTTGAAATATAACAGAAAATACCCAATGTAAGAAATGGAAAAAAGTGTTGCAAATGCTTCTGAGGAGTGGAATTAGAGGTATAAGAGGAAGTACTCTTTTTTTTCTTTTTTAAAAATAATTATTTGTTGTTGAAAGTATTACATATGTCCCCTTTTCTCCCCATTGACCCTGTCCAGCGGCCCCCCCCCCCCCCCAGGCCTTCAGCACCCTATTGTCTGTGCCCATGGGACATGCATATATGCATGCAAGGTCTTTGGTTGATTATCTCCCACCCACCCCCCTTCCCTCTGAGATTCTGCACTCTGTTCCATGCTGCCACGTCTCTGGATCCACTCCCTTCATCACTTTGTTTTGTTACTTAGATTCCACATATGAGTGCGATCATGTGAAACTTGTCTTTCTCTGACTGACTTATTTCACTTAGCATGATACTCTCCAGTTCCCTCCATGCTGTCTCCAAGGGTAAGAGATTCTTCTTTGTTACTCCTGCCTAGTATCCATGGTATAAATATACCACAGCTTTTTTATCCAATCATCTACTGATGGGCACTTGGTATTTTCATTTGCTATTTTCATTTCATTTCATTTCCGTTTGCAAATAGCAACAATCCTGACTTCAATCTCCCTTCCTTCCTTCCTTCCTTCCTTCCTTCCTTCCTTCCTTCCTTCCTTCCTTCCTTCCTAAATAATTTTTATTGATATCAGAGGAAGGGAGAGGGAAAAAGAGATAGAAACATCGATGAGAGAGAATCATTGATCAGTTGCCTCCTGCACATCCCACACTGGGGATGGAGCCCACAACCCAGATCTTAGCTATTATAAATTGAGAACACAGGCTTCTTTATGTTGAGACGTGTTTACGCCCATGCCTTTAATGGTTTTTAGTGGCAATACTCTGAAAAGTTTCTAAGATTTACCCTTGAAGTGAATGAGTGCTGTGGTAGAAGTGGTAGAAGCCAAGGAGCTTGAAATAAGCAGGGCGGGTACTCAGTACACGGATGAGATTAGACCAGCGGTCGCCAACCGGTGGACCACTGGTCGTCCGTGAGGTCAGAAAGGTTGGCGACCGCTGGACTAGACAATGGTGGAGGAGGTCTAGAACATCCACAGGTCTTTCCTGAGTGATCAGCATCAGCTCCAGTGCTAGACCCTGACCTGGCGTGTGGGAAGACGCTTATCATTGCCCCTCCTTTCCCCCAGTACCATGCAGAGACCATCAAGAACGTGCGCACGGCCACTGAAAGCTTTGCTTCTGATCCCATTCTTTACCGGCCAGTTGCTGTGGCCCTGGACACTAAAGGACCTGAGATCCGCACTGGGCTCATCAAGGGCGTGAGTATCCTGGGGAGAAGTGAGGGGGTAGGTGCAGGGGTCGGGGCCCAGAGATGTCCTCAGCTGTCCCCGCCCTCCTGGAAAGCCACATTCCTCAGAGTTTAGGAGTATAAATGAAGGTTGTATTCGTCGCTGTAAAAATGTTGATTTAATCTACTTGGCTAAGAAACGATACTAAAAAGGAACCCTTTTTACTCTGAAAAAACTACTTCTAAATCTCTACCTTTGGGGAGCAATTTGTCTCTTTTCCTCTATCATTAAATAGCATAACTAGAACATTGTAGGCATTTCTGGGGTTATTTCCTTGAAATATACTAAGTTAGTCAATATGATGATTTATTCCCCAAGGAAAAAATCTTTACTGTTACTTCTACACAAGATTTGAGCATTGTTCCCTGGAGGAAAGCATTTCTTTCCCTGCCAGGGCCTGCTTGGCCTATGAAGTTTAGACTTGGGGCTTACTCTCTTGTCTGCAGAGTGGCACCGCGGAAGTGGAGCTGAAGAAAGGGGCCACTCTCAAGATCACTCTAGATAACGCCTACATGGAAAAGTGTGACGAAAACACCCTGTGGCTGGACTACAAGAATATTTGCAAGGTGGTGGAAGTGGGCAGCAAGATCTACGTGGATGATGGACTTATTTCTCTGCAGGTGAAGGAGAAAGGTATGTTTAAAACCGGCTTCCATCTCTAAATTTCTTGGACACAGGAAGAGAGGTAGCTTATTCGGCTGACAGCAAGATTGAGTCTGTATTCCCAGGAATTCCCTTTATAATAACTCCTTATCCTCAAAATAAGACTTGAGTCCTGCTTAATCATGCTCTTGGGGAGTATATAAGATTTCTTTTTATGCATCCTCACTGCTTTGAGCTTTCTGCTTCTCTCCTCCATTCATCAATGTGATATGTACAGGACTCCAGTGTTTCTGGGAATGATAGCTCATTTAAGTGCCAGGCACTAGTCTAAGCATTTTACATGATAATTTGTTTAAATTTTAAGACAACCTTATGAGGAGGTATTATTCCTATTTAACATGTGAGGAAACTGAGTCACAGAGAGATTCATTCACTTGCCTAAGGTTACACAGTCAGTGGAATTGGGATTTGGACTCTGGCAGTATGGCTCCAACTGCCCATGATGTGCTGCCTCCCAGTTCACTGTCCTGGGGACAGAGGCAGCGGCTTTTCGTTTCTCCCCTCTCTGTTGAGGACACATGCCCTCATTGCCCTGCCTCCCCACCTACTCCATTTTACACAGGTGCTGACTTCCTGATCACAGAAGTGGAGAATGGTGGCACTTTGGGCAGCAAGAAGGGTGTGAACCTCCCTGGGGCTGCTGTGGACCTGCCTGCCGTGTCAGAAAAGGACATCCAGGATCTGAAGTTTGGGGTGGAGCAGAACGTAGATATGGTGTTCGCATCTTTCATTCGCAAGGCATCTGATGTCCATGAAGTCAGGAAGGTCCTGGGAGAAAAAGGAAAAAACATCAAGATAATCAGCAAAATCGAAAATCATGAAGGAGTTCGGAGGTAAGTCCCGACCGTCTGTCCCCGCCTTCTTCTGCCCCAGCCCAGCTCTCTGAGGAAACAGGTGTACCCTGTGAGTACCTGGCTGCCTGTGCTTCAGAACACAGCCTTAGCTTGTTCCAGACCCACCGAGCCAGAATATCTGCAGGGGAGAATTGGAAGGCGTTGGTATATGTTTTTAAAAAGCTTTCCAGGTTTGGAATGCCAGATGCTTGTCATTGTTGCAGAGACCCAGGGATCAGCCTTGGAGAGGACAGGGTCACTGTTCACAGGATCAGGAGCCATGGGGCTACATGCCTAACCAGGAGTACTACCTGTGTCTGCTGGAATGGGGTGCCACCCAGAGGAAAGGCAGCAGCGGGCTCTTTGGAAAGGGCCGTGTGGAAGGAAGCTCAGGGCCTGGGGTTGGTGCTGAAGATTATAGCTTCCTAGTCTTCACTGAGAAAGCAGCTGGCTGGGTGATGGGCTAGCTCTGGCATGATATCAGCTTCCTGGAGGGGGGCATGTGGTTCTCCTCTAGGCTTAGATTGTCCCAGCTCAGCTCACAACCTCCCCAGTGCCCACCAACTAGAGTCAAATGATTGTGGCCAGCGTGGTGACATCTGTTCTTTGGCTTCCTACTAAAAGCATAACTCAGTGCAGCTAAAACCCTAGACTAGGGGTGGGCAACCTTTTTGTGAGTGCGTGCGAAAACCAGCAAAACCTCTGGCTCAAAATTCTTCTGCGTGCCAACCCTAATTTTTTGAGAACATGTTACCCCCACTTGGTATCTCTTAAGGTGTATGTAAGTGAAGAACCTTGAAGAAATAATAAAATTCATTCATGCAACAAAAACACAGTATATGATGATGAAAAATACATTTATTTACATTTATTACACTGACAGTCCGACAGAAAACATTATGACTCCGTTTGATATTATCAGTGGGACTTTTGCTGCTGCATCACTGATGACAGAGATTTTACATCAGGTTTATATTTCGTGACCTTCAGAGATATGCACGAGCTACTACTTTCATCCGTCAGGCTACTCCTATTACAAGACTTAACAAAATTCATCTCTGAGAACAAAGATTCACAAGTGTATGTGGATGAAAACATGGAGAATAACGCTGTTGCAAAGTTTTTTAAACAAAAAATTTTCTGGAATGGCATTCCAAGTCCTCAATAGTTCGTTTTCGACCTTCTCTCTGGTACTCCTGTCTCTAATCGCTTTTTTTCAATGTTTTCCAAGTCAACTCTAAGGTCAATAAATTTCTGCTTCCAAATAAAAAAGTCGATATTAAGAAAAAAATTGTAAATGGAAGTTATAAGAGAGGGTTTCGAGTGCCAGCAAAAGTTACTGGCGTGCCATGTTTGGCACGCGTGCCAGGGGTTGCCCTAGACCTACTCGTGTGGATTAGGCGTGTGCTTGAGGAGGATGGAAGGAGCAGCCCTACCCACTGTTGTGACCTTGTGGTCCTTGACTTTGTGTAGATGTCCTTTGTATTAGGTAAGCCAGCTGATCTTGGACCCAGGCCAGGCAGAGCCATATGTCCTCTTCCCTTCGGCAAGTTGGAGGGGGAGCAGCCTCAAGGAGCAGCCCTCGGGTTCCTGGGCTGGAAGAGGCCATGGACCTTTGTGTTGGGAGCTTTTCACAGGCCTGAGGTTTCCTTCCTGCCTTGGGAGTGTAGCTAGCAGAGGGGCCGCAAAAGATGCAGATGGAAAAGAAATGAGCTCGTGGGGCTTGAGAGGAAACCTCACCCTGCGCCTGTCCCTAATGAAGCGTCCATACTAGTGCTGAAGAAACCCAGCAGGCTAAACTGTTGGGCCATGCTAGGGAATGAGGTAGCTGGAACTCCCACCGCCATATCAATGGTGACATCATGGGTGGCTGTTCTGCAAGGATAGCTAAGGCCGAGGATCCCAGGAAAAGTTCCTTTGCATTACCATACCGCTGTTCCACATAACCTCTCTTTCACCTTTCCATCAGGTTTGATGAGATCCTGGAAGCCAGTGATGGGATCATGGTGGCTCGTGGTGATCTAGGCATTGAGATTCCTACAGAGAAGGTCTTCCTTGCTCAAAAGATGATGATCGGGCGGTGCAACCGAGCTGGGAAGCCTGTCATCTGTGCCACACAGGCATGTGCCTCTTCTCGCTACAGATGCTTGCCCTGTTTCTTCCACAGACCCTTCCCCACGCCACAAACACATACACACATGCTCCTTCCCCCGTGCACCTACACAAAGCCCTACTCTGTGTACACACACACTCTCCAGGGAGTCAGCTTGCAGTCATTCATCTCTGAAGACAGCCCAGGCCACGTCTCACTAATGCTGTGTCTCCTCCCAGATGCTGGAGAGCATGATCAAGAAGCCCCGTCCCACCCGGGCTGAGGGCAGTGATGTGGCCAATGCAGTCCTGGATGGAGCTGACTGCATCATGCTGTCTGGAGAGACGGCCAAAGGGGACTACCCCCTGGAGGCTGTGCGCATGCAGCACCTGGTGAGTTCCTGGGGCCTGCCTGTCTCCCAGGCTCGGGCTCGGGCTCAGGCTGGGGTGGAGGCAGCTCTTGTACAGAGCCAATGCCTTTTAGGCTTCTGCACCCACATTTTTTTATTATCCTTCAAATTGCAACAAGAGTGAGGAGGTGTGTGTCCTTTGTTTTTTTTTCTGTTCTGCCTTTCCTCCCACATCCTCCCTCCTATTTCGCTCTGTTTTGAAGTGTTCTCCTTCATCAGACATAGCCCAATCACTCTGGCTTCTTCCTTTGGCTCAAGTATCAAGATACTTGTACCTCTTCCTCTGCACAGCCCAGAGGACCTCGTACCTCTGCCCTGCTCTGGAAAAGGCCAAGGCCTCCTGCTCCTAGCCATCCTTTGTTTGGCTTCCATTTGATTCCCCACCTGTCCCACGGACAGGGGACTCCCCCACAGGGGCCTCTGGGCCTGTACTGGAGACTGTTGTCCACACTGAGTTGACTGTGAGCTGGCCTTGCATGGTGTCTGCAGCTGGACCTGCTGTGCTGAGTTGTTGCACTCACCCTAGACTAAAAATGGGGTTTAAGTGACAGGTGACAGGTTCACAAATAGAGACTGGTGGAAGGATGGCTGATCCTGGCTGGCCCTGGAGTGAGAGCATCTGGTGGAGCCTTGGAGGTGACTCTTCCCCCCTCCCCTCCCCCGCACCCCCTGCCCAGGGAGCTAACTAGCTTTTCAAGGCTTTTCTGCTCTGCATGTCCCACTGCCTGGCTGTGTCATGGTTTGCCTGCTCCTGCTCTAGAGCTTACTGAAGAGGGAACGTGGGGATCGGCTATCAGGGTTGTGACACCCGAGAAAATGAGTGTGCAGATTAGCTTGCCCGTAATAGTCTTAGGTCAGTGTTTATAATGTGTAGCTCAGTGAGTTTGTATCTTACCCTGAAATGGGTTTTCTTTAACTTCCTACTCCCTTTCAATCAACAAAGGACCCCATGCCCTTATGCAACACCTCCTCTCCTGCATTTCCCCAAATTTAAAACGACCCCCAAAAAGAACCTCTGGACTAGGTATCTTCCTTTCCTCCATTTTCTGTGTCCGATTATTAGGTTTAACTAGCTTCCAGAGAAGACGTCATTTATAATTTCATACCATTTCAGTGGTGAACTGAAACATCTTTTTTTTTTTTTTAATATATTTTATTGATTTTTTTACAGAGAGGAAGGGAGAGGGATAGAGAGTTAGAAACATCGATGAGAGAAAAACATCGATCAGCTGCCTCCTGCACACCCCCTACTGGGGATGTACCCGAAACCATGTGCCCTTGATCGAGAATCGAACCCGGGACCCTTCAGTCTGCAGGCCAACGCTCTATCCACTGAGCCATACCGGTCAGGGCAGAAACTGAAACATCTTAACAAAAGTTGTCCTTTGGGCTGTCTTCAGCATCCCCCATGGATTTCCCCATGAGGAAATCCTGTCCCTGGCATGTCTGTGTACCTTGGCCCTGGCGAGTATGCACCCGTTTGTGAGACAAGCTTGCTGTTCTGATGCTCAGAACATCTGATGCTCAGAACATGCCCTGAGCCATCCTCTCTCCCATCCTCTCTCCAGTGGGCCTTGAACCAGTGACCTCTGGAGTGGCTGCTGGTGTATTTATGGGCCTCTCCACACCTCACCAGTCTCTAATTGCCTTGCTTAGATGTACGGCCTCAGGTACAAGAGTGACCTGATACACTGAACCATGAAACATGTAGGGACTTTAATGTGTCTCAAGGCCTTATCTGGAAAATGAATTAGATGGGATATGTTTAATTATAAACTTAACATTAAATATTCACTGTAATTATTAAATGTCTGTTAAGTCCCTGTGTAGACTGATGTAATCTTCATAGCCTCCGTGAGATATAGAAGTCACCCAATTTATAGATGAGGATTACATGGTAATATAAAGCCTGAGTTTGAACTAATATCTGACTTTGAAGCCAGTGTTCTGTCCTGCACCATAACACTCTAATCTCACAGGAGGTAAGGCCAGGTCTGGGGTCAAAGACAAAGAATCAGGCTCTGGGCTCTCACTTCATGTCCATTTTTTCCAGACCCTAATCTTCCCTATAACAGATGGATACCTTAGAGAGAACTGCAGGGCTCGGATTACATGGCCCTGCTCATAAGATAAGTTATGGGGTCCGGGCCAGGTGGTGCTGGCCTGTCCTTTCCATGTCCCTAGTTAACACTGGCTGACAGCTTCCCTTAACTGTTAACTCCTTTCTCCTGTGTCTTCGCTGATGCAGTAAATGGCCTATAACTAAGGACTAGGCAGTACCGGGTATGGTTCTGTTCCGCTCCCCTGCCCTTTGGGCTGCATGCATTCCATTCTTGAAGAGAGAAAACTAGTGAGTCCTGCCACATATCTGTCAAATGAATGAGATGATATTACTGATTCTTCCCTCACCCATTATTCTCTAAGCCAGTGGTTCTCAACCTTCTGGCCCATTAAATACAGTTCCTCATGTTGTGACCCAACCATAAACTTATTTTGTTGCTACTTCATAGCTGTAATGTTGCTACTGTTATGAATCGTAATGTAAATATCTGATATGCAGGATGGTCTTAGGCGACCCCTGTGAAAGGGTCGTTCGACCACCAAAGAGGTCGCGACCCACAGGTTGAGAACCACTGCTCTAAGCTGTTGACGATTGCATTATAATCCTCTAAAACTTAAATTTTCTTTCTAATTTTTAGTGTTATGTGAGCAGGTGGTCTGTAAATAACTCAGTGGCTTTCTCATGACTTTTCATTAGATTTTAATCAGATGTCTCGTTCAACTTGCTTCCACAGGCATCTGTCTCCACATGGCTGTTCAGTCATCCTGACAAATTTGCCAGTTTTCTACCCTCCTGCTTAGAACGCAGTGAAGCTGCATGGCTTTCAATTTCCAGCGCTGCTCAGTGTGTTTCCATGGCAGGCCATCGGAACACCCCTGTGCCCCGTGCCAAACCAAGTGCTCCATGGAAGCTGGCAGGAAGCCCTGGAGAACTGGACAGCCATGTGAGGAGGGCAGGCCTATTTCTTCCTGTCAGCTGTGTCATGAGGCAGTGTGATCCAGCCCTGCCAGGCAGTGGCCCGGGCCCACCCTGGACATGTTTCCATGCTAAGGTCCCGGAACCTGCCACCATATTGTCTCTCTCCACCCCCACCCCCAATCCGAATTCCTTCCAGAATGGAAGAACCAATTTCCCCTCTGATGGAGGGGAAACAGCCGAAGTTGAGGCTGGAAATTCTTCACATACCCCTGAACTGGCTTGTGTCACCCTGCCTCTGCATCTGCCTGTGGGACAGATTTAGCCAATTAACCTAAAGTTACCTTCTCTTTATTCTCTGATTAATTCCTCATTCTGTCTTTCCATGTTGTTGTCTCTCATATTTTTTGCCTCCTCCTTCCCTTTCCTCGCCTCCCTTCCCCCTAAACCTTACAGATAGCTCGTGAGGCTGAGGCAGCCATGTTCCACCGCCAGCTGTTTGAAGAACTTGTGCGAGGCTCACGTCACTCCACAGACCTCATGGAAGCCATGGCCATGGGCAGCGTGGAGGCTTCTTATAAATGTTTAGCAGCAGCTTTGATAGTTCTGACGGAGTCTGGCAGGTAGGGCCCTAAAGGCAGGTAACTCTGTAGGATAACCAGCCTCTTGCTCCAGCTGCTCTAGAAAACAGCCAGGGCCCAGCCCTGCACCTGGGGCCTGGGCTCACAGCCTCTCTTTTCATCTGCAGGAAGCTAGCCAAGGGAGCTCAGGGCAGGGCAGAACCAAAGGGACTGTAGCTCGGTAGGCACAGGTGGTGTCACAGGCACCTGGTGAAGGACTGGTCCCTGTGAGTCTTGATCTTGGTCAGCTCAGAACCTACCGTGATTGGGTTCCTTTTGGCCTTTGCACCCAGGGATGTGTTCCCCACCAGCTGTCTGTGCAACTTTTCCCCTCCCTCTCCCATTGTGACACAGCTCTGACAAAGCTCTGTCCCCCTCTCGTTCCTCTGGACGGATGTTGCTCCCTTAGATTGCCCGTGAGGCAGAGGCCGCCATCTACCACTTGCAATTATTTGAGGAACTCCGCCGCCTGGCGCCCATTACCAGCGACCCCACAGAAGCCACCGCCGTGGGTGCCGTGGAGGCCTCCTTCAAGTGCTGCAGTGGGGCCATAATCGTCCTCACCAAGTCTGGCAGGTAGGAGGTGGCAGCAGCTCCCTGGGAATGCCCTCTTAGTGGCACCTTTCCTTGGGGGTCCTGGGAGCAGTGCATTGAACAATGCTTTGATGACATGAGCCAAGGTAAGACCCTGCTGCCTGCCACCTGGACCCTGCAGGGAAGGAGCTCCCTCAGCCCCCAGGCCAGGATCCAGGAATAAGCAGAGCCCATTCCCTGGGCTCAAAGGACTCCAGGCAGCACTCAAAAGGCATGGGACCATTTGACTCCAAAGCAAGTTTATACCATCAAGACTTCGCTGTTAACTGCAGATAGACTGACTACAGTTGATTACTTGGTATTTAAAGGCTGGTCTTCTAAAATGGTAGTAGGCCTCCAGCTTTGCTTCTTTCAGTTATTGTATGCTCTTTAAAAGTTTGGTTTGGAAAATTAGTGCTGTTCACTGACATGCCCTTTGGTTGGTGCATGAGCCCCTCTCTGTCTTTGAACTCCAAAGACAAGTGATACCTGGCCCGGGGACGGTCACCATGTCGTGATGCAGCCAAGCTGGGGCCTGTTTGGCCATGGACTTAGGATCCCCTGGACAGTTTTGGGGTGTGCTCCTCGTCCCTGCCCACAGGACAGCCAGGGTTTCCTGGAAGAGGAGCAGACAGGCAGTCCCCGTGCACTGAGAAGCAGCAGGAGGGGCTACCCAGACACTAGATCTATGCAGGTTCCCTCAGCAGAGAGCTCAGGGTAAACAGTCCAACCATTGGGTTGACATTTATGAAAAGGTCCAACCTTTGCTATCTGGCTATTTTTAGCTCCTGTCTTCTTGGATTTCACTCTCAGCCTGTCCTGATTTCAGCAACTGCTTCCCTTTGAAAGTCTTATAGAGGCCAGGCCTTAAGCTGGGCATTCTCTGCTGTAATATGGTGTAGGTTTCCTTGACACCTGTTGAGTGTCCTCATAGCTTGCTTTCTGGGGCCCAGTCACTCCTGCACACTATTCTCCAACTCCTGAGACACATCTGCAACTGCAAGTATACAGGAAGTACCCAACACTGGGGCTCCAGAGGGTCCCCTACCTTCCGGAGGAACCTGCCAGAGCCTCCCACACCACACTTCCAGTTCCTGGTCTTGCCCTCACTTAGATACGCAGGTTTGACTCAATCTTTAGAGCTCAGTTGCTGGAACTATTTCAGGACCTGGAGACCTGGGGGCCACATGGGGTTGGGAGGGTCTAACAGTATGGAAGGCAGCTTGTGTTGTAGATTCCCAGGGGGTTGGTAGGCTCTGTTCCTGTTCTTTGCAGATGTCAAGAGTCAGGTGCTATTCACATGCTGCTTGGCTTGTAGGAGTTACTGGCATCTAGAGAAATGGGTACTAGTGAGCTTGGGTGAGGGCTGCCTCCCTGTGCCAAAATGGAAAAGTTCGGAGGGAGCATTCTGCCAACTATGGGCCATGTGAGGAAAGTGGGTGAAACTGATCATTCTGGGTCAGGAGGATTTCTGGGCCTGTGAGGAGGGGTGGAGGGCAAATGGGTCTCACAACTCTGAAGAGGAGCTACATGCTGTGGAGGATACAGGAAGAGGGGCTTCCCAGCCATGGGAATTCCCACAGGGGCCCAGGGGATAGATGTTTAAGTGGCCAAAGCCTCAGGCTGGCATAGTGAGTTGGATTAGAAGATGAACTGTTGAAGCCCCTGAGGGGCTTCCTGGGAGGCTTCTGGAACATTATGCAACGGTCTCTTCTGCTTGTCCTTCATCCCCTCTCAGGTCTGCTCACCAGGTGGCCAGGTACCGCCCCCGTGCTCCCATCATTGCTGTGACCCGTAATCACCAGACAGCTCGCCAGGCCCACCTATACCGAGGCATCTTCCCTGTGGTGTGTAAGGACCCAGTGCAGGACGCCTGGGCTGAGGATGTGGACCTCCGGGTGAACTTGGCCATGAATGTTGGTGCGTGACTTGGAGCAAGTGCTGGAGCCTGGGGTGGAGGTGCTTGCACACTGAGCTCTCTGGGATGCTAAGGAAAGGGAACATGCAGACCTTAGGGTGCAAGAGTCCTGGCTGGCTACTGTCAGTGGGAATGTTCTCTCTGATTCCTCCATCCCCATCTTTGAAGTTTTGGGCTAACCCCAGGAAGGAAGAAGGCCTTTGAGTCGTGGGGCTAAACAGTCCAGTTTGTCTCCTCACTCTTCTAATCTAGGGCCCAAAGCCAAAGGACCTAAGTAAGCAGGATTGTCCATCCTTTGGCATCTGCTCATTACTGGGTTTTGTGTATGTGTTTAATAAAATTGGCCAGAGCTCCTGCACTGTGGGGTGGCACACACACAGATTATGTACTGACGTGGCCTTCGTCCCAGTGTAAATGTAGGGTGCCACTGAATGAGAGGAAGCAGCTAGCTCTAACCTTGAGCAAGGGTCTCCATCCTCCAGTGTATAAAATGAGTGATGTCCAAAGGTCCCTGCCAAGTCTGCCATCTGAGTGATAGGGAAATCTCAGGACTGCCCTCATCCCCTTTACCTGGCTTTGAATCTGGGGCCACCTTGTGGTGTAAAGAAGTAATAGTCAGCCAGCCCTGCTTGCTATCTGGCTGTGGGGCAGTGTCCCAAGTTCATACCTGCCTGACTTGGCATTTACTCACCCACATGCCTTCTCTTCTTCAGGCAAGGCCCGAGGCTTCTTCAAGAAGGGCGATGTGGTCATCGTGCTGACCGGGTGGCGTCCTGGCTCTGGCTTCACCAACACCATGCGTGTAGTGCCTGTGCCGTGATGGGCCCCAGAGCCCCTCCTCCAGCCCCTGTCCCCTCCCCTTCCCCAATCCACCCCTTAGGCCAGCAATGCTTGCAGTGCTCACTTGGGGCTGTAGTATGGCACCGATGGGCTGGGGCTCCAGGGAAGAAGATTAAGGCCTCTGTAAAGCATGGCGATTTTTTAGACCCTGCTCAGGTGAGGTATAGTCCAGAGCCAGGCTGTCCATCTTACAGCCCTACCCAAGCAAGAGAGGCAGGGGTGCAGGACTGGAGGCTCTGAAGCTGAACATAGAGGGCAATCGCTCCTGCTTCTCTGTGCACTCCATTCAGTTCCTGTAGAAATGGACACTCAGAGAACTCCCAAGCCTGGCCTGGGTCAGAAGATAGCCGGCTAGAGAGGGCAGTGGTTCCAGTGTCAGCAGACTCTGTCTGGCCCTGGCCCTGGCCTTCACTTGCTTCTCCAATCCCCTTAGCCTCCCCCACTCCCATCTTGTGCACTGTGCACCTCTGTTCCTGCACTCCACTCAGCTGTCGCTGCAGACAAACTCCATCCTCCACCTTGATTATCCCCACTACTGCAGCCGCCTCTAGGCCTGTTGCTATAGAGCGTACCTGTATGTCAATAAACAGCAGCTGAAGCATTTGTTGCCTCTTTTCTGAAAGGGTTGGTCGTGATCTCTGCCCTCTGAGAAGGGAGAAAGGGCATGAGCCTCAAGGCTCCTGGTGGGGACTCCCAAACAGCTCAGGCCGCCTGCATACTGTCCATCCCCAAGTGCAGATTTGCATAGTGAGTTGGATTAGAAGGTGAACCGTTAGTAGCTGACTTGCATAGGTTGCCCCCTTTAGGTGGCTGTGTAAAAGCTCCTGAAGCCCTGGCTGGTGTGGTTCAGTTGGTTGGAGTGTTGTGTGCACCAAAGTGTCATGGGCTTGATTCTGGTCAGGGCACATACCCAGGTTTTGGTATCCATCCCTGGTTGGGAAGCAAGTAATGTTTCTCTCTAAAACAGCGGTTCTCAACCTGTGGGTCGCGACCCCTTTGGGGGTCAAACGACCCTTTCACAGGGGTCGCCTAAGACCATCGGAAAACACATATATAATTACATATTGTTTTTGTGATTAATAACTATGCTTTAATTATGTTCAATTTGTAACAATGAAATTGGGGGTCACCACAACAAGAGGAACTGTATTAAAGGGTCGTGGCGTTAGGAAAGTTGAGAACCACTGCTCTAAAATCAATACCCAAAACTGCAGCTGGGGAAGTTTTTTTTTTTTAATCCTCACCCAAGGATATGTCTATTGATTTTTAGAGAGAGGAGAGATGAGAGAGAGAGAAACTGATCAGTTGCCTCCCCTACAACCTGGTTATGTGCCCTGACCTGTGACCCTTTGGTGCAAGCAAGGGACAATGCTCCAACCAACTGAGCCGCGGCCAGGGCTGCAGCTGGGGAAATGATGATGGCTTGTTTGAGTCAGATGAGAAGGCAGTGACCAGGGCCCTTTCCTCCTGTTCCGGTGGGCAGACTGAGTGGAGTAGTCCTTGCCCTGCCTGCCCCTTAGGCCTTCATGCAGTAGAGGCCCCTGATGGGAGCTGTAGGACGAGACCTGGCTCCTGAGACAGCATCTGCTCCAAAGTTCCCAGAAGTTTCAAACCTGGGCTGTTAGTGCCCCTTGCATCTTCCTATGCCCTCCCTCCGTGGTACAGCTGGGTGAAGGAGGTGGAGAGAAGAGGTTTGGGAATGGAACCAAATCCACTTGCACCTTCCCTCCTGACCACTCCCAAGGACTAAGCTCTACCTGGTGGGGATAGGAGGGAAGGGGCCTGCAGGCCAAAAAAGTTGGGGGAACCTGAATTTGAGCCCGTTCTCAAGGCCCAGTTCTTTGTCACCCCCACTGACACCACCAAGCCCCACTCTTCATTTCCTGGCCGTCTTCAGTCCTCCCAAGACTTATCCAAGTCTTTGCCTGGCCACAGTGAAGTTTCCAGCTCTAGGCAAGGTGCATGGCAGCATTTCGCTCCCAGTTTGACTTGTTCCACCATTGCCTCTAGTATTCCCCACTCAGGCCCTCAGTAATCCGGTGTGGAGAAAAACGGAAAGCTACCCTGGAGTTCAGTGCTGGGAGGGTTTATTTAGGGAGGGCTGGAATTGGTTGCTGCAGAGCTCCGCGAAGAGACTCGGAAAGCTGAAGAGGAAGAACGTGGAGGGGCCCCGAGGCCCTTGCTGTGCAAGGCTGGAGGAGCAGACCCTGAAAGGGGCGTGGAGATCTGTGAGGCGTTTGGGCCCCACCTTGAGTTTGGAGAGGGTGAAGGACCTGCCAATGGGCAGGGCCCGTCCCGTGCGGGCAACCAATGGGTAGGAGGAGGTGGGCCCTCCCGGCTGCGAGGACGAGGACCGGCTGGTGGCAGTCGGTTCGCTGGGTCTCCCGCGCTGGCCGGAGGCGCATCTATGACTGCTCTGAGCAGGGGCGAGGCAGTGGCGGCTGGCAGGTAAGGGACTGAGCCCGCCTGCCTGGTTCGGGCGAGGGGCGGGACGGGGCCCGACGCGCCTGGGTGCCTTCTGCCCGGAGGGCAGGCACTTCCCGCCCGCCGAAATGCAGGCTCAGCTCAAGAGCTGCGCTTCTCAGGTTGCGGGGTGTTCGCGGCTAGGCACGTTGTCCCGGCTGCTGTGCTCCGCGCGAGGGGTCCGGGCGTGGGGATGAGGACGTCCGGGCAGCGGAGGGCACCCTTCTTGGGACATCTCCGTAGCCCACCACCACCACCACCCTCTGCCATCATCCCTGTTCGTTCGTTCGTTCGTTCGTTCGTTCGTTCATTCATTCATTCATTCATTCATTCATTCATTCCCCAGCCCTATCGACCCCCAGCCCTGACTGCTCCCCACCCAAAGGCTGATGCTCCCCTGCTGGCCCGGGGTGGGGGTTTCAGCCTATCTGCCCTCCCAGCTGAGTGTGCAGTTATGTCTGGCCGCGGCTGCCCAGGAGACAGTGTGGAGCTGTCCTGGCACGAGTGGGCCACCCCCGTGCATCAGGCCCGTCCTGGTCGGGCGGGCTGGGGCTGGTCTTTCAGCCTCGAGATTTGATCCAAAGTCGCCCTGGGAGGAAGGAAATTCTTGCACCTGGGGAAGGGGCAGAGAGGCAGGGCAGGTGGAAGGTGGTGTTTAATGTGACATCAAGAATTGTGGCCTCTGCCCCTGAGGTCTTGGGGCTTTTGGCGAGGGTGCGGGGTGGGGGGAGTGGAGAAGGGGGGATATTTGGTGAAGAAAGAACCAGTAGGTGAGGCTGTAAAGTCCTGCCCTTGCTGTAAGTTCCCAGGTGCCACAGTCTGAGCTCCGGAGGGCAGCCTGCCCCCTAGTCAGCTAGGTGACATGCCTCCTCCACAGTCCTCTGTTCACATTGGCTGGAGTCCAGTCCAGTCCGTGTTGGCAGGCACACTCTGGTGTGAGGCTGCAGTTTGACAGGACCAGTAAAGCAGTGAGCAATTCTAGAGCAAATGGGCAGTCTAGAGGGTGAACCTGAAAGAGGCTGGCACTGAGCTTCCAGGAGTTTCTGCTCGGGGCAAATCAAAATTCTCCTTCCTGCTTTGGAGAATGTTCTGAATAGCCTCGAGGGGACAGCCCAGGCCCTATCTATGTCTTGATGTTACTGGTTGCTTTCAAATTTAAAAAATTTTTTTTTAGCTCAGGCAAGTCCTCAAAGCCTTAGTGCAGACCAGAAAGACCTGTGTGCCAGTTTATCCACCTAGGATGCCCCCCAAGGTTGAGGTTGCCAGTACTCAAGGTGGCTTTATGCCAGCCAGCCTCCCTGAAGCTCTTCCACTGACTTGCTTGAGTGGCTCCACCCAGGCCTTAACCTGGTTAAGTTGTGGCTATGGCCCTTGAATGCCACATACCATATTTATCAGACCAACATGAAGAGCCTCATTCAGGGAATCAGAAGTGAGTTCTCAGCCTAATACTGTTCCTATTTTGCTGTGACTTGAAAACAAGTCAGGTTTTCTCTCTGGGCCTGCTTTGCCCATTTACAACTCCAGCTGGCTCTGAAGTCTAGCTTCTTTCAGAGCAAAGACTTCCAGAGTTGTAGGGAGAGAGAGGTGAGTAGAGGGTGTCTCCTCTACCCATTAGGTAAGGCAATTGGACTGTAGGTCCCCTAAAGCCCTTCTCCATTCAGTCATTCAGTGATTCTGCTACCTAGCATGTTTCCTCTTAATTTCTGAAGGCATTTCATTTCTTTTTATTTACAATTTCTTCTTTACTGTAACTACTTAGGGAAAGCCCATGAATTTAAGAACAGTGCAGCATTCCGCTTTGGTGCCCAGTGTCAGAGTCCAGACACCAGAAAATCATTTGTTTTTCCTTTCTGAGAAGTGAAAATCATTCTTTGGCATGAAGTCCATCTTGACCACTATGCTGCTATTCACCCTGGATGCAATTCACCTAGGCTGCAGGGCATCAGTTTGTCACTACCTGTTCTCTATCACCAACCTTTGAAGCTTTGATGAATTTCCTACCTGTTTACTAATGTAGGAAAGGAAAGGGGATGGGGGAGAACAGAAGTCCCTGGCATGGAAATTCCTGTGTAATTCAGAAGGAATTGTCTCCCCAAGGAGGATGTGCCTGCTCAGCACAGATGCCAGGAGGAAGGGGTTGTTTTCCATAATATAAACCTTTCATTTCTTCTTTTTTGTTTTTGTTGCAATGTATTTGTTGAAGAAATAGGATTATTTGTCCTATACCATTTCCCAGTTTGCTGGTGTTGTTTAAAATATTCCCCTGACTCTTGTATTTCCTATAAATAGTCGGTCTAGATGTTGCTCAGTTTCAAAAGGTATTGAGCATTTGAGGAAGAACATTAGGAAGCACATCTGGTTATTTCTCTTTGGACGATGTCAGCAGGCATTGATGATCATTTTATTTAAACCCGTTATTTCATTAGGGATTGTAGAATGGTATTGCTCTAATTCTATCACTCTTTCATCATTTATTGGCTTGAATCTTCCCATAAAAAGAAATATTTCCTCTTTCAACTATTTGTTTACCCTGAGGTATAGCTAGTACTAGAAAGGCAGAATTAAAAACGTAATTCTTTCTTTTTATTCACAATAAGTTTATTGCTAGCTGAGTATTTACTTTTTTTAAGTAACAGTTTTGGAGTTTATATTTTAAATCCATTTTGTTGCTGATCAAATTAAAGTTGTATTTCCTATCATTTTGGTAGTCTTGGGTACATTAAAAAGCTAATAAAAATGAAATGCTCTCTTTCCAGATGCATACCTCTTTGTTCAGATATAACAATTTTGCCCAAAATTTCAGGAGTTCCCAGGCCCACCCTGAAACTCTTGCCTGGATTCTGGGGTCTCTTAGACTGTCAACTGTGATCCATAAAGATGGAGGACTGGAAATAACCAGTTGGCTCCCTGTAAAAGCAGCAGTAGGAAAGCTATCGGGTCTTCCAATATCACTCAGGAGAAGAGTGGTTATAAGTGGTTATAGCTCAGACTCTGCAGTGGTCGCACCAACAGTGGAAATCTAATTTTATCAAGGAAGGAACATGGCGACAAAGGTTTGTTCCTTGATGAAAGACCACTAGATAGAGTTATGCTTATTTGAGTGTTGGAAAGAACTTTCTAGTAATCAGGGCTACAGTGATATACGTGATGAATGATATTCACATGTAGGCACATACTTTGAAACTCCTTGCCCTGGCCAGCTTGACTCAGTGGATGGAGCGTCAGCCTGTGGACTGAGGGGTCCCAGGTTCGATTCCAGTCGAGGGCACATGTCTGGGTTGCGGGCTTGATCCCCAGTAGGGGGTGTGCAGGAGGCAGTCGATCAATGAATCTCTCTCATCATTGATGTTTCTGTCTCTCTTTCCTTCTCCCTTCCTCTCTGAAATCAATAAAGAAATATATTAAAATAAATAAATAAATAAGGAACTCCTTGTGCCCAATTAGATTGCCACCATTTTTCCACCCACTTGAATATTTATTTAGTTCCTTTATATGGGTAACAGTGAACAACTTCTTTCTTTTCCTTTAAGTCATTCTCAGATGTAGTCACTGTGACATAACAATAGGAAAAGCATGCGCTTTCAGAAAGAGCTGGACACAAATCCTTGCTCCAGAAATGAATGCTGAGCCACTACTGGGTCTGAGCCTCCCTTTCTTCATCCATCATCACATCTGGTTCATTTAAAGGTTCTCAGGTGGTATAATAGGCTGGTCACCAAAAGTTAGTTTCCCTTCAGTGCCTCCAGCTTTAAGAATCTGAGACCCAGACTCTCTGATAATTTAGCCCCAGCTCTAAGAAAAGCTTAACATGTTTACTTTTTCAAGGTGCAAAGTTCATTTTTAATACACTTTTTATTTTCAGATAATTGTAGATTTACAAGCAATTGTATAAAATAATACAGAGATCTCATGTATCTTTCACTCAGTTTCTCCCAATGGTAACATCCTACATGACAGTAGCACAATAACAATCAGAAAAATTAACATTTATATAACCCATCAACCTTGTTCAGTTTACACCAGTTTTCCACGCACTGGTGTGTGTGTGTGTGTATGTTTAGTTTTGTAGTTTTATTACATGTGAAGATTTGGCAAAGTTTATTTTTTTAAATCTATTTTTATTGATTTCAGAGAAGAAGGGAGAGGGAGAGAGAGAGAGAGAGAGAGAGAGAGAGAAACATCAATGATGAGAAAGAATCATTGATTCGCTGCCTTGAGCCTACAACACAGGCATGTGCCCTGACGGGAAATTGAACTGTAACCTCCTGGTTCATAACTCAACCACTGAGCCATGCTGGCCAGGCTCAAAGTTTATTTTTAAAATCAATGTCATTTTTTCTTTTGGATTCTGAGAGTTTCCATGTAGGAAGAATGAGGTTTTAGGAATTTGGAATTTTAGAGGTATCTATTAGTTAATATTGCTGTGCTGTAGGAATAAGTTTTTGTGTTGTTGTTTGTTTGTTTTGCTATATTCTCCTTCTTCCTTTGATTCTTAGCTACAAGTGAGATTGTTTGTTGTGATCATAAAAATCAAGCAGAGTATATGGAAAAGTCTAAAGAAGAAAATAAAAAAATATCTAAAATCCCAATTCATGAAGAAAAATATTGTTAGAATTTTGTGAGCATCCTTCTTACATCTATTATATTATACATGCTGTTCTATATAATGCTTTTTTCAATGTTATGTAATGCTATCTGTCTATGTTAATAGACTGTTTTTAATAAATGTTTTAATAAATAACTTGATACATATTATTTTAATAGTTACAAAGCCATCTATTCTATGAATAAATCATAATAAATCATAATTTTTATGCCTTATTCTTTCTCTTCTAACTACACTTCAGTGAACATTCTTGTGCATTTAAATGGGTCCAGTTATTTTCTAACAATAAATTGTTAGAAATGGAATTTATGATCTGAGGTTATCTACATATAAAATGTATCTACTCTTCTCACACTGCCCTAAACACGACAGTATG